CGCACACTGATGTTGTGAATGCATACATATTTTTACTGTTAAATTGTGAAATTATTAACTTCTTAAGATCACACATTGGATCCGATAAACATATGTGTAAAATAATCGGTATGCGTGAAAACTTTTATAAGAAAATGAATTTTATATTTAAAACAAAACTTGAAGAGAAATTAACAAAATCATGACTTTGCCAAAAGTCTGGAAATCTAATGAGAAGAGAAATTTTAGAAGTTTAAGGTTGTGCTACTATATATGGGTCATTTTCAAAAAATGTCTATTTTTTTAATTACATATTTTGAAAAATGAAAGTGGTTTTACTATGATTTTTTCAACTTTATTTGAATAATATAGTAATAAACTACTAAAATCCACTGCATTGCATAAAAGAAAATATTTCTTTTAAAAAATATTGACATTTTATCTTAGTCATTTAAACTTTAATGTCCTTCCTGTTACTTTCATAAAAAGAGCTGTAAAACTCTATTTCAAAATTTTCATCAAATTATCTTTTGTATACCGTTAATAAATGAAAAAATTATCACTGAAAGCCAAGATGTTTGACATTCATCTAATATATGAGCGTTTAAAAGCATGTCAAACTACCATATACCAAACAGAAGCAAAATCTACGGGTTTTTCTTCATGAAAAGCCTTATTGCGGAATGTTTATATGCTATAGTTGAAAAAAAACATTCTTGTACATTATTTTTGTGATTAGAATAAACAGTTACAGAAAGTTATTTAAACAGGTGCTCTGCCAAAGCAATTTAAACTAGGAAAATATACTGGTAACAGTAAGGACTCGGGTAACAGAAAGGACAAAAACAGTAACAGGATGGACAAAACAGTGTAACAGGATGGACAATGAAATCTACATTTTAAATAAAAATTGACTTTTTTTAACTTTATTGGTTAGGAAAAGAGAAATAAATGTAGAATAAAAAAATGATTTTGTCAAATCTGGCAAATTTGAGACAATAAAAGACATTTATGTCCATCCTGTTACGAAATTTAATTCTAAAGTGCTATTAAAATATTTATCAGTTCAATTTTTGTTTATTAAAGGTACTCTATGCTGTTGCAAAACTAAGAATTTTTCATAATTTTAAGAAAAACAAATGATGAAACTTAAATAGGTATATAAATACCAGGGTAATTTGTCCCTCTTGTTACAATTTTTGTCCATTCTGTTACAAGAGTGCATGTTTAAGTTATAATGGCACAATTTGAAGCACTAACTTATTTCAATATGATTTACGAAGTTTTTTAACATGTGTTATTAAACTTATATTACTTGAAAAATAAAAGTAATTGTTTTTACTGTTAAAACTCAAGATATGAAGTCCAGTTTTCCTTACTGTTACCATATTAATGGTAACAGGAATGACAGTAACAGGATGGACATTTCTCATATAAATCACCGGTTATTTAGTATAACGTACTCTTTTTGCATCATCAAGACATTGAAACAGTTTCTTTGTAACTTAGTAAATCTGATTGTTTTAGCAGAATAAACAATTTAAAGAGTATTTGCATATTATGAAGGTAACAGATAGGACATATTTTCATTATACTCTACCAATAAGACAAACTTATCGACCTTTGAACCCTTTCTTTACTCACTTTCAAATCATGGCGCTCATAAACTTCAGACAACAGAAAATGATGATATATTGTGTATCATGAAAACAGTTCCTAGGAAAGTGAGATATCTTTTATTTTAACATTTTCTTTCTGATAACAGGAATGACATAAACTGGTGGGACATGTCACTTCCTGAATGTTAAATGCACGATACTAGTATTTAGTGGGAGGCATAAGTAAAACAATCATATTAAATTAATCTGTAAATGAATTCAATTAAAATGAGGTGCAAAATTTGTACATATCTTCACAGGGTAATATTTTCCCTATCATTTAAATAAGCGCGTTATAAAATTTTTGTTAATGTGACATGGTTTTCCTGTTAAATTTTACTCGGAATGCAGAGAATATTTTTTATAAAACACCTAGGAGATGATCATAAAATTACTTATAAGCTATATGACCATGTATATTAACCAACGGGAAAAAAAATTTCACTCTAAAAAATGTTTTCCTATTATTCTGATCAAAAGACAAAAAAGTGGACTTTTTTTGAAAATGGCCCATATATCTATGAAAAGAAAAATGTTTGATGAAAAATTAATCTGATATTTAGATACTTTTACATTTTAATTTTAGCATGTTTAGTACATGTAGTTGAAATTTTATTTGATGTCAATGTTGCTTTATTATTTTTTTCTATAGATATTTATACCTTGTAATTTGAGGAAATTTCTTATAAGATTATTTTCTGTTATTAAATCATTTTAAATATAATGTTTATACAGAAATTTTTTTTGAAAAATTTGTAATTCATAAACAATGAAATATTTTTTTATCGATTAATGTGTGCCACATACGCTCCAAGAAGTCTACCTAAATTTCAAAACTTCTCAATTTCTTTGATGGAGAAATTTTTGGTCTTCGTTAATTGTAACCTGGACACACGTATCTTAATTTAAGGTAAAAGTTTGTTGTTAAAGCAGTCAATGACATTCAGAGTTTCCAAAAAGTTTTTCATAAGTGGATGGGTTGACCAGAGAATAGCAGATTCACTCAATTTTACCCATGTAATGTGTCTATTATGTAAACTCAGACTTTAAATTCATAAGAATCAGAACATTTGTAAAATCTGAATCTGAATACCTGAAAATCTAAATCCTGTAAATTATATCTGATAATCTGAATACATTTCAATGCTACTGGAGAAAAAAAATATGTCAAGGTTTCAAATTATTTTATTCGACTGCCCAACGCATATTTTGTGCTGTTGTATATCTCTATATACTAAATATAATCAGGCTTACCAAGGGTAAGGCTGGCCTCAAACCCTGAAGGGACAGATGTGCGTCTATGCTTGTCAGTGTCAGGTAATAGAAAGCCCCTAAAAATAGGAGACCTATAATCAAGTAATCCAACCCCGAACCCGATGTAAATAAGTGTATTTGTACTACAGTGTCAAAAAATCGTAAACCTAATAAAGTAAAAACTTTGGCCTTAGGTTTTTATTATAGCTTTTAGTCATAGAGCCTCATGCTTTGTTTAGAAAGGGTCGTTTATGCATCAGATGTAATGTCTATGGGAGAAGTTGAGTCCATTTATGGTAGAAATAAACAATAGGCTACTTTTGTGGAAAAATATTTCAATAATTTTAAAGCAAGTATATACAAATAATACAATAGCCTAATTTAAGGAAGTGAAATATTTCAATTATTGAAAAACAAGTATTATAAAAATATATAAAGACAATATTTGAAGGGGGAGGAAATAAGCACCTCCTTAAAATTTATCGGTCTTAGAACCCTTGTCAATCATCTGAAATAAGCCTGGGATTGGATACTTTGATTTGAATGACATTTTAATAATTGGCTGCTGTTGTGTATATCTTTTGTACCTTGTCTGGAGATTTACCGATCATCGAATTAACTTTCAGGCTTTTGATGCCTACTGCACATGCCAAGGTGATAGAGCAGCAATCAAATCGTTGTTTTCTATTTTTTTTTAATTTATAAGAATATGCCATTAATATAGTCAATCTATCAAATAATTAAATAAATGACAAGAAAAATCATGGCTAATTAATATATATTATAAATTTGATTTTAAAAGGGTGGATTTTATATCGCGATTACAATCATAATTTTAATTTCCGTGTCAAAACATGAGTTACGGTACTTTTAATCCTTCATTAATTAACAAAATAAACTGACCTGCGTTTGAATCTAGTTTCATATTAGTTTAATTTATTTTTTTAACAAGTATGACAACATTGTAACATTACTCACGAGTCAAGCGAATTTATATTTATAAGAATAACCTGTACGTATACGTGTCGTTTTTTTTCCGAGACATGGTGATGAAGTAACGGTATAATAATAAGTTTTAGAAGAGAAATTAAACGGAATTTAACATCTTGCTTTGAATTTAATGTTTGAAATTAATAATGAGTGTCGAAAAAAAAAAACGATGCAAATGATTTTATTTCACTTTCATAACTGTCAGGGAATCATTACCGCTGTCCATTAGGAACTGACCATTGTTATTTACTGAGAGACTGTTCCTCTCGCGTACTGACGCGTAGATGACATGTATTTGAATTACTTCCCTTTTCGTCGCCAGATTACAACGTCAGATTTTGGTGCTGTGTATTTTTGTTATAACACTTCATTAAAAAACACACTGTATATAAAAAATGTTGAATTATTGAACATATCAATTATTTTATGAAAAGAAAAAAATTGGGAAGGATTCTGTCTGCAACAAAAAATACTTTATTTTGCATTTTAATTCATGAGCTAAACATGGAAAAAAATGGCCTCAGTTTACAAAGTCATAGGAATTTGCATACTGGTAATACACCCAGGTAATATCCTGTGTGTATTGGTAGTATACACAAGCCAGCGTCGTTCCCTTGGGGCTTCTCATCCGCTTTGATTAAGCTCCATCCCACACCAAACTTACCTGAGGAAAACCGTAAAGTTAAAAACCTTGTCCTTTAAACGTATGCATGTGTTTTGTCCAACATCACAAGATTTAAATCACTCAAGGCCCAAACTGGTTGATGTTTAATGATGAAATAAACAATTTGTGGGTTTATTTTTCCATTTGTAATCTAATGTTTCCAGTGGCACTCAGGAAGCTTTTAGATTTTAAGTGAGCATAAATAAGTAGCAAAAATTAATGTGGGAAAGTTGATCATGTATCCAGGAAAAATAATTTTTTTTCTTTGTTAATTTCCTCCTTTTACTGGATTTTTTCTTTCTGATGTTTGTAAACCTAAATGTAAGACTATACTGTTTCTTTTTGTTCATTTTTTACAGGTATCTGGGATTAATATGTATACAGAACATAAATTATTTTATAGTTTGGTGGAATCTGGTTATTTGCTGGAATTAATAATTAGTTTTGTTTTGTAGGGCCCAAAACCCATGACAATGTTTGTGTTGGAAGATGTTGTAACGAGAAGATACGCCAATGGTGAACAATCATACGGCACGTCGTGGATGGTTTCTAGTGACACTAACTACAAGACACTAAAGCAGGTGATCGTGCATGAAAAACATCTAAAGATGCTGAAGAAGATGACTGCTTTTTTAGTTGTTAGATACACTCTGCTGGAGGATGGGACAGTGAAGCTGGGCCAGCAGACTGTGGTATGTCTTAATTAATATATATAAGTTAAAAGTATAGGAAAGGTATAAATATGATGAAATGTGATTTTACTTATACTTTATAAAATGAGATATATAAGGATAACTATTTGTTATTAAGCAACTATTTTTAAATACATTGGTTTTAGCTCGTGAAACTGAAATTTTTATTGTGCATTCTATACTGGTTTATCATTATTTGCTTCATGGTATTATTAGTGTGTGCCCTTTGCATTTGAATATCTCATTGTTGTTGATATGATAAATTGCAATGAATGTTATTTGTTCTTAAATGTGTTGATTACTGCAATGATTAAGGTTTTTGGTACAAAGCTTTTATGCATTGTAACATCATCAAAAACCAACAGGTGATCTTTACTTATCACTTGTGGAAAAATCTTCGTTTGTAATTAAATATGCATGGGTCATTTAATTGGCCACATTACAGAGTTGCCATGCAAAACAACGTACAAATCACAGTTCATGTTACTTATGCATGTTCAGCATTGCAAACATCATAAAAATATGTTGCATTTTGCAGTTAGAATGTGGTACTTATGTAATATTTGACGGAAATTAAATATCAATGACATTGTTTCAATTAAACTTTGCACTTTTTAACGAGTGTCAAAGTATTCACCTTAAATAGCAAAGTAATAAATATATTTTAAATATTGAGTTCCAACTTTCTAATTGGTTGACTAAAAACAACAGATTTGTCAGAGACCAGAAGACTTATGCGATAGTAATGCGTTTGTTGTCCATCTGTCTGTCTGTCTGTAAACAATTCTTTCAAAATGCTATTCCTTCTATAGTTTTGGTCCAATTTCAATATAACACAAGTAGTCTACACTAATATACATAATTCTATGCATGGGTTTTAGATTTTCTATCTTAAGCTATGCAATTGTGATAAAGTTATTACTTGAAGCCTTAATTAAGTATTGCTATAGGAGAATTTTATTTTTGATTTTTTGCAGGTGTTCTTATATTGAAAACTAAATTATAAACCCTTGAAACTCCATGAAATTGAAAATTGTCTAGTAAAAAGTGCACTCTTTTCCTATCTGTAACTTGAAACAGAAACTTGAAACTGTAAACTCAAACTTAATTTCCAGTCATAGTAGAAAATTCATTAACTGCGAATTTTTGGTCTTTTCAACTTTGATTTATAAATATATTTTTGAAATTTGAATTGTTTAGTATATATTACAACTGCCCTAAAATAGGATGTTGTGATTGTTATGCATTAGAGGATGGAAGTTTAACTATAATAATATTTTAATCTTGATTTCCTTTTTTTTAAATTGAAGTGGTTGCTGTATTTTCTTTTATTTTTCTCATTAAAGGTAATGCAGAGCGGAAGGCCCGCAGCCATCACTGATGATGTAATTATGACTTTTGTGCAGCCTCCCGTTGTAGAGGAGCTAGGCAGGATAAGTTCTTTCGAGAACAAAAAACGGATCAGCGTCAAGGGGGAGGTCACGAAGGTGAGTGTAACTTTCTTGATACACATCTCTGATAAAAATATTGGAACATGTGTAATATGAAATTCTGTGCTAAAATTTTTTTTTCTTAAATTGATGATAATATTTTCCATCTTTGTATTCATGATTATGCAATTATTTTTTGAATAATATAGAAATACATAGTGTTTAAATTGGGAATAATTATTCTTATGCTATTATTACATTTTTTTAAAGCATTATATCAATTGTATTACTTGAAATTATGTGAAGCATACAATTTCATTTAAGGTCTCAAGCATCATTGAAGGATCAAAGTCAAAGAGAAAGATCATTACTCTATCGGATGGCCAGGCTAGCATAGACATCAAATTGTGGGGTGGTCTCTCTGAGACTGTTATTCATGAGGGGACGACCATTGAGGTTTCTTGCGTCCATGTCGATGTCTATCAGAACAAGCGTTCATTAAACTCCACTGGTGGCACCCAGATCAAGGTGAAATATTGTATTTTTATTTCTTATTTTTTGTGAAGTTTTTTTTCTAGTACAATAACCTTAAATTTCAACTTTTCATAATTTATGTTCTTGTTACACAATGAAATACTGTGCATGTAATTATTTACATATGCAAGACATTCAGCTGTGTATTTGATTTAGCGATTGTTGAGTTCTACCAAGTCGATCCGTTAGATCGATACACAGCCAATTGTGATATGTTTACAGTAATGCCTATTCTAATTCATGACCATTTCCTTGTGTTATTATTTTAGATTACTGATGCTGAAGAAGATTTTCAGGGATACATCGAGGGAGTCTCCTTTGATGAGTAAGTAAAGTAATAAACAATAGTATGACATTCAAAATTTTTACATGGAAAGTGTTTATTTATTTGGTGGCAAAATTAAATTTGAAGAATTCATTTGGTGTTTTAAATATGTTTTCTGAAAATCTATTTAGATTAATAATACATAATTGTTTGTTTTGCAGGAGCTGTTTGGCCATCTTTATTAACGACGAGGTTCTAACTTGTACTGCTAACCATGTTGACAGCCTCTTCCCAACGCACGAGTTTGTTGACAGAAAGCATGTGAAGGGAAAGAAGAAAGGCAGTATTGTTATGTCAATGTAAGTTTAAATGCTAACAGCAGTTTTTCCATATTTTAATTGACTCAAATAATTTTTCAACAAAGTGGAAAAGATGAGCAATAAATTTACAGATTATGAGTACATGCAACTGAACTTGTGTTAATTAATAATTAAAAACGTAAGGCTATAGACAGTCTGACATAAATTATTTTAAAAAAATTAAGAGAATTTATATAATCATTTAGTGAGGAGCACATCTTGGCAGAAGAAGAAGATGAGCTGCTTGCTGGTGGCAATCAGGCGGATGAAGAGCAGCTTGATGAGAGCGTTTTAGCTGAGAAGCAGTAATCATCATTTGAGAGGTTGAATTATGGTTAAAGACTTTTCCCTTGCGATGTTGTTACCTTGGACATTATTGAGTCATTTATAGAAAGTCCTTTGAACTTTTGAAGTTTTGTTTTGTTGTAGTGGTTGTATGTAGCTTTGGAAAGTTCATAATTTTTCAGTTATAATAGAGAACCGTACATAGTTTGTGTAATTGTAATAATTCATTACCTGTACTTTTACTTTTACATGTGATTTTTATATTTGTCTTTGTAAGCTGTACAAAGATTTGTTAAGGTTATGCCTTGAATTCCACACAAAATGATACAGTTTTGTTCTGATGCAAAAATTCAGTACTTTACTAATATTCCATAATGAAAATTTTTTTCCTGATTTTTTAGCATTTTAAGGAAGAGGCCTTCATTAATCTTTTCCACTTAAGTGCATTTATAAAGAATCCTGATTTTTTTATGCATTGACACAATTCCAATTCAGTATTTCATTTATCAGAAATGGTTTTTAAAATTGACTTGAACTGGACTGATAATCATTTTATTTTTATTTTCCATTACATGCTGAGTGGCCGGTGTAATTTATGAGTTAGTTTTATACATGTATTTAAAGTATAGTTTTGAATTGGTGCATTTTTTATGTTTAGCAGCTTTGGTATTACGATTTATAAAATACTCATTATATGTTGTAAAGTATGTTTAGTTTTTTTAAAATATTTTTTTTATAAGCTCAAGCGTTTTGTATTTGAAAATTGTATGCTCAAGCGTTTCGTATTTGAAAATTGTAGCATGTTAAATTTGTGTTGGTCAATTCGTTTTGTATTAATTCCAATTCCAATTCAGTATTTCATTTATCAAAAATGGTTTTTAAAATTGACTTGAACTGGACTGATAATAATCATTTTATTTTTATTTTCCATTACATGCTGAGTGGCCGGTGTAATTTTTGAGTTAGTTTTATACATGTATTTAAAGTATAGTTTTGAATTGGTGCATTTTTATGTTTAGCAGCTTTGGTATTACGATTTATAAAATACTCATTATATGTTGTAAAGTATGTTTAGTTTTTTTTAAATATTTTTTTTATATGCTCAAGCGTATTGTATTTGAAAATTGTATGCTCAAGCGTTTTGTATTTGAAAATTGTAGCATGTTAAATTTGTGTTGGTCAATTCGTTTTGTTTTAAACTTGAGTTTTATTTCTTAATTTAAGGCTTATTGTTCTCAAACTGAATGGAAAATTTTTTCTGATTTTTTAGCATTTTAAAGAAGTGGCTTTCATTGATCTTTCTCACTTAAGTGCATTTATAACGAAACTTAGGTGTTTTATGCATTTAAACAATTCAAATTCAGTATTTCATTTATCAGAAATGGTTTTTAAAATTGCCTTGAAATGGACTGATAATCGTTTTTTATTTTTATTTTCCATTACATGCTGAGTGGCCGGTGTAATTTATGAGATAGTTTTATACATGTATATAAAGTATAGTTTTGAATTGGTGCATTTTATGTTTAGTAGTAAAGTATGTTTAGTTTTTTTTACATATTTTTTTTATATGCTCAAGCGTTGTGTATTTGAAAATTGTAGCATGTTAAATTTGTGTTGGTCAATTCGTTTTGTATTAAACTTGTGTTTTATTTCTTAACTTTAGGCTTATTGTTCTCAAACTTTACTGATAACTTTTGCACACGTAGCCATGCAATCTCAATTGTGCTAGCTAGTTTTAATTTTACTACAGTCCCTTTGTTGTCCTTTTTAAGCCCCTGGATCGAAAGATTGGGGGGTATATTGGTTTTGTTCTGTCTGTCTGTCTGTTTGTCTCAAAACTTTAATCAAGCCCATGACTCTTGAGTGATTGAAACTATGGCTTTCATAATTTATAGGTATGTTACTTCTGACATGACCTTTCTTTGGGTACCACTAAATTTGACCTTTAACCTTTACCTTGTAGTTGACCTACTTTTATTCTATTTATTGTGAATTTAAACCTTTGCCATAAATTTTGAACAGATCGAGATAGAGACTTGATATATAAAATGCTTATTCCACTACATAAGCACTTTCAACTGACACCAAGGACAATGACCTTTTGACCTTGACTTTGACCTATATGCTAAAAATAGTTTTTTTTTTCAAAGTTTCGGTTACGTTTTGAACCATAAAAGATAGAGACTTAATATTTAATATGCCTACTTCAAAAATTAAGTGCTTTCAAACAACACTAAGTCAATGACCTTGTGATTTTGACTGTAATCTTTATGCAGAGAATAGTTTTTTTGAACTCTGTTGCCTCTGAGGGTACTGTGTTTCACAAACACATCTTGTTTTGTAATTATGGTTTTCCATCTCATAGTAAAAAATTCTGTTGTTGGATATGAATATATTTTCTTTGGATATTGTATTATTGAACTGTTTCTTATATGCTCAAGTTTTACTAATATTTAATTACTGTTAACTTGCAATATCATGTTGAAGATGTAACTTATTTATTGTACATTGCCCTATCATGTTGAGAGCATAACTTATTTACTTCACACTTGCCATTTTATGTTGAAGATATCACTTATTTTCTATAAACTTTCCATATCATGTAGGAGATGTAACTTATTTCCTTATTTTGCCTTACATGTTGAATATGTAATTTATTTACTGAACACTTGCCATATCTTGTTGAATATGTAACTTATTTACTGAACACTTGCCATATCTTGTTGAAGTTTTAACTTAATTATTACAGCACTTTTATCATATCATGTTGCAGATGTAACATGTTTTCTGTACCCTTGACATATCCTGTTGAAGATGTAACTTATTTACCGAACAATTACCATATTTTGTTAAGTTTTAACTTATTACTGTAAATGTGTCAAATCATGTTGAAAATGTAACATGTTTACTGTACGCTTGCCATATCATTAGATGTGATGTTTTTCTACAACCGTACAAAGTATCCAGAATTTCTTAAATGTGATTCAGTCTTATTTGTTTTTATTTCTTTACCAAATGTTCTAATAAATATGTAAAAAGTTGTAGTTTTAGTTTTATATGAGAAATTTAAATAGAAGAACAACTCATCTTGGAGCATAACTTTATCTTTAAGAGTAGTACATTAATTGAAATTTCAACTTTAAAAAAAAACCTGTCAGATAGAAGAGCTTAACGAAGCATTACCATGATAATTTGATTGCTCAACACAGCAAAATAAGTTAAGGGCTATAAATGTAGTTCAATATACATTTACTTTGGAAAGCATAAAAAATTACTTTCATGGCTATGTAAAAAGGTGTAATCTATAACAGATGCTAACAAAATATGCTTTTTGGGTTTGGTGATAAAATTATATATCTAAAAGTTATTCATTTTGAGATTTTTTCATTAACAAAAAGTACATGTTTATTTTCAAAGTGTATAGTCTATTTATGGGCAGAAATCAGTGCTGTTTAGTAACATTGATAAAATGATGAGAAAAGATACAATTGTCTACCTCTGATGTTGCATTACGTAAGAAAATATTTAAGAACATGTTTTTAAAAGTAAGTGATAACTTTTTAAATTGTTTTGGAAGGAAAGATCACTGTTATTGAATAAAACAACTCCATTAGTTTAACTCTTTGTGTTCTGAGTTTCCTGTATATTTATGCATACAGAAATTCTCTGGTTGCAAAATTTCATAGTGCGCTCTGATGAGAGAAAAAATAAATTATACATTACTCTATTCACATGTGAATGTAATTGCGTTAATTTAATAATAATAATAATTGTATTAAATTATTGGAGGATGTTAGCTATCACTTTTGACACTTGTGACATTGCCCAGCTCTAACCACGTGGAGGTATCCTCAGAAAAGCCTTTTTTTTTATTTATTTGGATGATATGATTGAAGTTTTGTTGAAGTTATTTTTGCTTTAATTTCTTTAATCTACTTAAAGGAAGTTAACTCCAAAGACGGAAAATAAAAGGCAGCCTGAATATCAACTTAACTTATTATAATAGGATTATTGTCAAAAGGTGTCACTTTGATATTTTATTTATTTTTAATATCAGGATATAACTTCTTCCCAGCATTTTATGCAATAAAAAAAAGAAAATGATATCATAAGGTAAACCAATTTTGCATTGCTCAAATATATCAAAACAGCTGTGTATAATTTAATTATTTAAAACGATTGAGAAGGATTTTACATTAATTGTGCAACTGCGAATTTCCATTAAATGAATTATATATTGTAATTATTCAAAACAAGTTTCCAATAAATGGACGGGTGTTTTCCTGGACACAAACATTAGTAACTTGTATAACTAATCCGAAATTTTCTAGTTTGTCGCAGGTGATCGAATCCGATATTTATGACCCGGGTTTTTTTTAAACATGTAATATATATTTATGTAAATATTACAATAATAAACAAAAGGAACTGTTAATTTATAGTTGATATATGACCTGAAACACCAGATTTTTTCATAATTTTATGGATATTTTGCAGAATATGTCTGGAAAAGTTGGGGAAACTGCCAACTCAGGTCATTTTTGATTTTACCGACTTGAAAATCAATAATCGCCGTTAAACTCTACTATAGGAAGTATATTTATGGTAATTTAGCAGCAAATATAAATTTTGTAAAATTACAGCTCGATCAAAAAAGTATGAAATCGGAGTTGTAAGAAAAAACAATCTCGATCTGCCCCTACTTTTAATTTGTCACGGCCCGGTTTTGCCTACCCAATCTACCGGGTATATGACCTACGCTCCTTTTTTGGCTTTAAAACTAGTTTACTAGGCATGGTTTCCGGTGGGCACTGGGAAAATTAAACATGAATTCTTAACACCAAGTAATGAATTGAAAAGTCGATAAGATAAGCTTTCACAGGTTGTGGAAACAGGTGATGACAAATTTTTAATAAGTTCTATAGTACTATGTTATGTATGTATTGTAGCATTTATTTTCACTGATCATATATGTGCTATCACACAGTTAAGTTTGAAACAATATATCGAAAGTTGTTCAGGTATCATTTCAGTTATATACTTTTGTGGGATTTGTCCGCTTCATATATACATAAAATCTGACAGGATATTTTCTAGACGATGCACAGAAAAACTTTAACATGATAAACAATCACCGTTTTCCTCATCAAAAATATATAGATCTATAAAATTCTACTGCTAAATATTCAACTACCGGTAATTGGATTCTAGAATTGTGCAGCTTACAGATAATGTCATCATACTACCAGTGTATGTTAAATATAAAGATTTTGTTCTATTTAAAGTTTACCGATATGAACCAAGGGTTCATCTTAATCGTTGTGATGGTTCTGTCAAATGGATTTACTTTTTCAGGTTGACTAACACTGCTTCATGATAGCTGTAGTATGTGGGTACCTTAAATGTCTCAAGTTCCAATGGACATGTTGTGTACACCAAATCTAGTACAGTTTGCTGCTCAGTTGTGGGGAAACTTACAACTTGTGTAAAGCCTTTCTCAAACATGAACTTTTGTACTGGTCCACCAATTTTTGCATTCTCATTGAAATCCCCAAGTATGATGCCTCTGTAATTTGGTAATAATACTGATTTCATCACATTTTCTAATGCTATCAAGAAGTCTTTGGCTGGCAAGACAGAAGGTCTGTAAATATTCACCAAAATTACTTGCTCTTGTATTAGCTTTAAAGCTATACACTCTATGTTTTTCCCACAAATTGGAATTATTACAGCATTTGAGCTTTTTCTGCTGTACACTGCAACACCTCCACCGTTTGATGTACGTAATCTATCTGTTTTACAATTCTCACTATTATATGACTCTGCTCTCGATATATGACAGAAATTGTAATCCTCAATTTGAAAGTTTGCTGTATCTTGACCTTGTGTCAGCCATGTTTCTGTTAAACACAGGATATCAGCATTCCAAAAGCGACAATCATGTTTCAGATTTTCAAAATTTCCAGCTAAACTTTGAATATTGTGTAAGATGATCTTTGTACAACTTAGCAAACTTGATCCTTCATTTTGGACTGGAAACAAAAGTGGCATTTTTTCAATTGATGATTTAACATCGGCATCAGCATGTATCTTCTTTTCTAGGAGTGCCTCATCTGCTGTCTCTATAAAAAGCCCTCTCAAAGATGTTACTCGACTTAGTGCAACATATGCCTGTCCAGGGGAGAATGACTTGTCTAAATTAACAACAATTTGGTCTGCTGTCATACCTTGCACTTTATGGGCTGTGCACGCCCAGGATAACTTTAATGGAAACTGGTGACGAACAACACTTTTTGATTTGTTTACTTTGACTTCTTCTTCTATTCTCTCTATGAGAACTATGTGCCCATTTGCAGCACTTTTCCCTGTTTTTTTTCCAACATTTTTGTTATCAAATTGAACACCTATTGCTTTGATAGAAGATTTTCCATTTTTGTGTTCTGTCAGAAAGTGTGAGATATTACCCATTACACCATTGACCAACCCATCATCTACATTGATGTTTCTTATAAGCATAACTCTTGCATTTACTGAAAGAAGGATGGAAGCACTTAGTCCGTCTAACTTGGTACTTGATAAGGGACTCTCTCTTAGTGAAAGTTTTCCAGTTGTTTTGTCTTTCTGATAGTCTAATGCATCAATTTCAACAAGTTCTTCAGATGTCTTTTTCAGCATAGACAGATTGAAGTTATTCACCTCATCATTTGTTGAATATACATGCAAAGCATCTTCTGGACCATCTCTAATACAATTCTTCAGCATATGTTTGGTTTCCTCTGACAAGTTTTCCTCCTTTGTTCGTATGCGTAAAGTGTTTAGAAACATTGCAAATGGAACATCTTCACGCTGCCTCATCACTTCATTTAATTCAACAAGTTTAAAAAGTTCTAGCCAGTGATCATCAGGATATGATCCATTTTCTTTGTATAGACGTTCATTTTTTGATTGCTTTACTGGTGGTAGTTGAAAGAAATCACCAACAGCTAGAACTGTAACTCCTCCAAAGGGCTTTTTGCATTTTTTAATTTGAACAAGTCTTTCATGCACATAGTAAAGGAGCCTCTTATATACCATTGACACTTCATCAATGACAAGGATTTGTAGCGATTCCAGTTTGACTCTAAGAGTACTAAGACTCTGTTCATTCTGTGGTTCATACGGGAGTGGTAAAAATTTTGTCAATGCAAAAACTTTATGTATTGTGTTTCCACCAATATTAAAAGCTGCTGTGCCCGTGAATGCTGTTAAGACTACGGAAACACAATCTGGTGATGGAAGATTTTTACTGAACAAACGTTCTGCTTCAAAATGGACAGCTTTTATCAGATGGCTTTTCCCTGTTCCAGCTCCACCAGTAACAAAAATATGAAGTGGATCAATTTCTTCACCTGCGACTCTTTTTAGACACCAATCTCGCACATGATAAAATATTTTCTTTTGTGTTTCATTCAAGGATTGCAGAACTGGTAATATTTCCTGCTTTGTGCTATTACTTTGCTGAACTACATATGAGAGATTTTCTGTGGGAAATACATTGTCAATATCAGGGAGCACATCATTATGGTCATTTTCCTGCAAATCTGGTCTTTTTCTTGTTGACATACATTCTTTTCTGCTCACTTCAGTCTCTGGACAGAGTTGGGCCCATGCATCTTCTGGTTCACCGACCATGTCAAATACTTCTTGAGCGGAGTTAACGACATCTTCATTTTTAGCAAAACAAGCTCGATTTGCATCCACAATAGATTTTACAGATTGCAATTTCCTTTTCTTAGACATTCGGATATGTCCCTTTTCATAAAAAGACATGTACAAGTCAAAACCTTTGGGTTTTAGTTGTTCCTCTTTCCTGTGTGGCAAATAAAGTTGCAGTAAAGACTGATAATACTTTTCTGATGATTTTTCTGAGCTGAACCTTGGGTATCTGATCACAGCTGGATTTGTTCTTGTTCTCTGCTGTATAAAACCTTTTCCATTCTGCAGCTCATACACAGACTCATTTGGTCCTTTTGGCACTTGGGATTTTGATAGAACTCTGAACTCTGAACAGAACTGTGCTAGACACATCCCTTGAAACTTATCACTGTCTGGTCGATTTTCATATCGTTCTATAATATTTGTCATCCAAATACTCTCTTCGTCATCGTCGTCATCATCATCATCACATTTTTGAGCATTTCCTTCATATTTTTTCCTTTTCATTTGAGAAAGAGGTTTACTAAGGCGGGTTGGGTTGTCACCAACAGGTATAAATACAATTTTTCTAGAACACTCCTTCATTTTTAAGTTACAAACTCTGTACACAGCCTCCTGGGCACTTACTTCCCTGTGATGCAGGTATGCAGATCCAATTTTTTTCATTGTGTCACGGGCATTGAGATTTCCTTCTTCAGCTTCAATTTTAGTTTGTTTTAGGAGCATACCCATTTCTCTTTCAGCTTTTGATATATATGACACAATGTAAACTATGCAGCTGAACGGATCTAAAACATATTGTATATCCATATTTGCATCCCAACACTTCAGAAGACATGGATTATATTGATTTGTCCATACTTCATGTGGGTTTCTTTTCAGAACCATAGCTGTTTTGGCTGTCACTTTATTGTGTGCTAGTTCATAAAGGTCTTGGGTTAATTCAAGGTCATTGAATATGTCAGATGCAGATTTGTTTGCATTAGCTTCGTCTAGTAAATGATTCCACACTCGAAGCAAAATTTCCTTTGCTTGGGTTTTGCTAATCTTTGGCCCACTATTTTCTGATGAACAATTTTGATCATTGTCTTCATCCGCAGGTTTATTTATGAACGTTCTTTGTGATGGTGGTCTCGGAAAGTTAAATCTGCATTCAGTCCCTTTTTTCCTGCATGATTTTGAATGGGTTTTACTGTGTTGTTGCACATCAAGGACTATTTTCCGTAAATCTGGCTGATTGATTGATGGCACTGCACAAGATACATATTGGTCTACAAAATTACATATGCTTTCCTCATCATTTTCGCCAAATTTTGGTGCATTTTCTACCCAGTACAAGCAATGCATATGTGGTGAGCCACGCTGTTGGAATTCAACTCTGTGAAAGAAATCAACAACTTTTCCAATAGGCTGTGAAGGTGATAAGATAACATCTCTTTGAAAGACATGAAATCTATGCTCAAACATCCTGGCTACTGTCACTGGATTACTTCTGAGTATTTCACATTTTTCAGACCAATCTAGTTGCTTTGGATCTCTGTTGTCATTTTGTTGAGTAAGTATTGTATTGATAGTGTCATTCCACCTGAACTCAGCTGCAGAAAACGAGCAAAACCACGTTGGTATCCCTAACTGTCTAAGCATAGCAAATAAATCCTTTTGTGCAACTGACCAATATGCTGGCGTACCTCTAATTGGCTGCATGAACCTTAATGCTTCATCACTTCTCAATAGCTGTGAAAGAACACTTGGATCGCCTAACATGTCTGATGTAATCTGCTTCCCACATTTAAATTTTGAGAATGATTTGCGCATTGATATTTGAGTTTTCTCAATAACCTGGTTGAGTTCGGACATATACTGGCTAAAAAATATGTAATTTGTATCTTTTGCAAAGCGATTGTCTTCATTCATCAATCTGTTGTTAAAGTATCTAGAGAGGGATATTTTGACTTTTCTACTTTCATCCCATGCAAATTTTCCACTTGGGAACAAACATGGAAATGTTTTTGCTTCATTTCCCTCTTCTTGTAACATTCGAATTGGGTTTTTTCCTTCTCCTGGTGCTATATTGTATATATCATCAAAATAATGATCAAGTACATCTTGGCGAATATCCACAGGTTGTAAACATGTATCCATTGCTATCATTGGAGTTTCTACATCTTCATCTGGGTTTTTTGAATCCTCTTCACATTTACCTTCAATGTCATCACTTTGCAGCAAATCTTTGCTACTTTCCTCCCACTGTGAATCAAAGACAATGTCTTTATACCATTGATTGTTCTCCTTTAGAAACATGATTGCTTCTTTTATATGTTTAGGTTTGACAAATTGATATTCAAAATAGCCCTTATAATTTAGCTTTCTTTTTAGTTTTACTCGAAGCAATGCATTGTCATCAACTGTGATTGGTAAACTTGTTGTTTTTTTCATATCAGATGGAACACAAACAACTGGACCATGAACATTTTTTTGTCCACCCTGTGGTAGAGCCATTACTTTCATGAATGGTATATGTAATGCAACTAAATGTTGTTCTAAACTATTTAAATGGCTCAGTTCTTCTGGAATGTCTTCAAGGAACATGTCATTAGCAGCTGCTTCTGCGGGCATTTTACCACTCAAAATTTTCCGATGACATGTATAGCATATCCACAATGATGACTTTGTGCAATTTCTCTGACAGCTCTCTGAACAAGCATGCAAATACTTTTCTTGAATACAATCATGAGCAATTGAAGCTGCTATGGAACTTTTCTCATACATTTGATGCTCGCAACGTTGTACTTGGTTTTCAAATAGTAAACGAGAACAACAGCAGCAAATATAATCAATACCTTTGGATGAATTCTGCTTAAACAGCATTTCAATTTTATCTTCATTTGGTAAGTCTGATTTTGCTTTTATTCTTTGCTTTTGAACATTTTCTTTCTTTGCATCTTTGACTTCAGCTTTTGTGTGATAGTTTTTTTTCCCTGTAGACTTTACTATATTTCTGAATGATTCATTTGTTCTGTATTTCTTGATACTTTGTTCTTTAAGCTTGTTCTTAAAGACTTCATTATTTTTGTATTTCACAATACTCCGAGTTTTCATTCTTTCTCTATGATGCACATTTGTTCTGTACTTTTCCAAACTTCTTTGTTTTAGTTTGTTCCTGTAGGTCCTATCTGATCTGTATTTTTTAACTACTGATTGTGAGGCTCTTTTTCTGAGTTCATCATTTGTGGCTCTCTTTTTATGCATAATCTTACTTCTAGCAATGGTTTTTTCTTTGTAAGATATGTTATTTACATATCTTTTTTTGCTAGCTATTTTACATTTTTCTCTGTATGCCTTGTCTTTCTGATACCTAATGCTTGCATCATTGAGTTTCTTATTTCTCCTTGCATAATTTTCCCTATACCTTTTCCTATCATTTCTCCTTCTACTTTCTATGTGGAACATATGATCCATTCTGTGATTCAAATTGTGCTGCTGTTTGTGTATTCTGTGGTTACCTTCACTATTATATTGTCCTACTTTGGTTACAACACCCTCTTTCCTTTGTGAAGCTGAATTTGATGTAGCTAATACTACATTGTAATGATTTCCATGCTTGTGTTCCAAGTAAATAGATCCCTTTCTCTTTGACAAAGATTGGTGTGTATTTGCAGCTGAATATTTCACCCAACGATTATCACTGTAAGTGTAAATGTCCAATTCTAAAAGATGTGAAACGGCTACAATTTCTATTTCTGTTGCCCATGTGCCTTCTCTTATCATCTGAGTTGAAGACAAATGAGACTTTACAGAGCTATCACCTTGCCTGAGATAAGACTGAAAGAGATGTTGATTCTGAAGCATATGTTCGCATATCATTTGTCGAATCTGCATGTGAAAGTCTTCAGAATGGGTGACACAATATGACACAGCTCTGAAAAAGCAATTCCCATCAGCGTCAATTTCTTTGACTTTTGACGGAGCTTTCAATTCTTGGTCATAGTTAGATTCAAGATCATTATCAGTTTTTTGATCAGGTAATTCTAACTGGTTACAAATTTCTTTTGTCTCTTGAATTGTGAGTGGATGGAATCTCAGTTTCTGATATTCAGATGTAACATACAGTACACTGTCATCAGTATTTTGAGCATGTGTTCCTTTATTTCCAGACAAAGTATCATTCTGCCTCTCAGAAATACTTGTTACATTTCCCATCAAAGTTTCACTGAGACCAATAAAATCAACTTCAGTCATGTTTGATCTTGCAGTGCAAATCACCCCTGTTATTTCACAATCAACAATTCTAGAGAATCCTAAAGATACAGCTAGAGACTCTAAGTGGAAATATATTTGCTTGATACTGTTATACAGTACTCTTGTGCTTTTACCATCAACACTAAGCAAACCTTTCTGACATCTGGAATGAGAATCGAACAAGAAATACCCCTCATCTGTTTTGCCAACCAATAATGAGTTTCCCCCGAAGCATATAAAACAACCATCTGTGTCATTTAATGCCATTTTTAGAGCATCTGTGAGTGGATAGGCGGCAAAATCATGGTAATTTGGTTCATCCCCTGACAAGTAAATGATACTAGGAATTGGTTCTTTTCTATGAAATTCATAACTTTCATTGAAACACTCAAACAAATGAGGTAATTCATCAACTAACAGAAACCTATTATTGACTGTAGAGCTACATTGTAAAAACATATACAACTCATTACCAGTCTGCAGAATTTTGTCCATGTCTTCTTTTTTCCAGCATTTAGAGCTCTTGATTTTATGATATGCCATACCTGATAAGCAATTAGCTACACATTGACTACCAGCTGTGTCTCCAAACAAAGGATCTCCTTGATGATATGAACCTTGAACAGAAATTGGACAGATACATTTGTTTTCTTGATTACAACTTGGGCATCCATCTAAAGAAATCAATCTTTGCACTGTACAACTCTCAGCATTTATAGCAGAGTTAACATTATTAACATCCTTTCTATCATTGTAATAACTGTCTGTTTTTCCACTTGTAACAATCTTTATATCATTCTTTGAACTGTCCATAAAACATTCATCATTTGAATTCCTGCTGAATTTGTCACCCAACAAATTCAGCTGCGCCTGACCTGCTGAGCTAGGCTTAAAGCCATCATCATGCTCAGGTACTCTCGCTGGAGTACAAACCCACGCTGGGGAGTCAGGGGACAGTGCCTTGTCAGCGTTATCGACAAACAGACGACTTCCCTGAGGAGATGATTGCCTCAGGGCCTTTGAGTCCATTTTCTCATAAAGAGAGGCCTGGACTCTGGCCAGTTTTCTTTCTTCTTGTGTGTCTAAATGCTTGTAGACATGCCTATCAGTGCTGCTGGATAAAAATTCTGTATCCTTCAGATCTGGTTTAGTGGAGTCTTTCTGCGTTTCATTTACAGTGGACTTTGAAGTGATTTTGCATTCTTCACTTTTCTTCCTCTTTCTTAACCTGTCTCTCTCTCTTTTTGTTCTGCCTGTCAAACTGTTACGCTTTGCCATCTAAAGGAAATAAATGAATGAAATAATTTAAAAAGACGCCAATGGGCTAACTAATCATCACTTTGCTTTTCTCGAGAAGATGTTTCAAGGCTTTTTTAATACTGTATACAGGGAAATTTTCACTCCTGTTTCATTTATGCCCCTTTCGCCCTGTTATCAATAGGATGAATTTATAACGGGGGCAAATTCATAGAATACAATATAATATTTTAAACAAAACTATGACTGGGCGAATTTAAAACTGGGCAAAATTATTTGCAAGTGTGAAAGGGCAAAAATAACCGTGTATACAGTATATTCCTATGCAAAATTTTGATGGTATGGTCAACAATGGCCAGGCCCTACCCCCCTGGATAATAATTTGAACAAACTTGAATGTAATGTGTGATTGTGATGTTTTCATATATGCTTCATCTTTTCAAGCCCAAAGGTTCAAGAGTAAAAAAATTTTGATATATATTCTAATGTAAAACTTTGATCATCAATTTGTAGCCCCACCCTACCGGGGGGGGGGGGGGGGGGGGGTGTCATTTAAACACAATTGAATTTACTATACCTGAAAAATTTTTCATATAAGTTTCATCTTTAGAACCTCAGTGGTTCTTCATAATGAAGAAGATATCTAGTAATTTTTCCTATATAATCTTATGTAAAAATTAGAACGTCAATAGTGGCCATGCCCTATTCCCTGGGGGTAATAATTTGAACAAACTTGAGTTTACTCTACCTGAGGATGTTTCAATATACGTTTAATCTTTTTTTAGAATTGCGGTTCTTGAGTAGATTTTTAAAAGATGTCATTATTTTTGCAATATTTCTTAATTATCTCCCCTTAAAAGAAGATGTGGCCCTTTATTATAACAAATTTGAATCCCCTTCACCTAAGGATACTTTGTGGCGAGTTTGGTTGAAATTGGCCCAGTGGATCTTGAGAAGAAGTCGAAAATGTGAAAAGTTTACAGACAGACGGACGCCAGACAAAATATGTGACAGTCTCACTTGAGCTTTTAACTCATAAACGTCTGTCAGCATTTGACTCAATGATAAATTGTTTTTGTTGTCATGGACATTGTCTCTGAAATAAATTGATATTCTCATTACACACTTGGTAGTTAATTATTAAGTGTATATAATTTGTGAAGATTTGTAAAGGAATTATATTACTATGCGTTTACTATTTAATATATGTTTACATGTAAATAAATGAAAGTTAAATATGTTTACATGTAAATAAAGAAGAATGGAACTAAAATTTCAAATGATGAAAAGAAAGATTTCATAGGAATATTACTGACAGGTTGATCAGAATATATTTCAAAAATTATCTGTTATTCATAGCATAAATATAAAATAACCGTAACCGAAAGGTTTATACGTTTTGAAAGTGTACTTGACACTTAAATTGCCTTTCTCTTAACTAAGTTTGTTAATTTACAAAGTATGCTTCCATATAAAAATCTTTTATTATTAATAACTTTGCTATCATTGGAAAGGATATTTTAATGTAATCATAATTTATATGTTACATTTAATCATTCATTATAAGCCCTGTATACAAGATATACAAAAACTTTACATGAAATCTAAAATTGAAAGTTCCGGAATAAGAATATGAATTCAGAAATATTTATTTAAATCACCTAATACTTTAAATAGTCTTTAATGTTAAATCATTATCATATGAATATGATGGTGTCGGAAATATTAAACAATTATGGACTCTTTTGGTGTTGAATATGGTTTGTTATTCACCAGAAAAATATTCATATTGACCGAGGCGAACGGAAAACTCTACAGTAATAAAAGAAAAGCAGCGATGGGTTTATTAACATTGTGCTGTGGGGGAAGACAGTCAACAGCTCTTCATTTCGAATACTTGTCTATAGGTACATGAATGCTGAGAAGTGCAAAGATGTAAAATAATTATGCTAAAAGTGGTGATAGCTAGGTAGACCGGATGAGAATGATTCTATAGGTTATGTTAAAGAGGCATCATTAAAAGTTACTTATGAATCCTTGCAAAAATGTTTTATGACAGTTCGTTTCCATTAAAGTAGATTATAGAATAGAAATGAACAACCAGTCTCTTGATCATTATGAATATTGATTAGATGTTAAGGGAAGTAACTCAAAATCCAAGAACAATGTTAGTATTTATTTCTGTGTTTTGTTTTAATGTTTGCATTTTCAGCCAAAGTATATGCATGTCATCGGAAATAAGGTCTCCACAATGTATTTTATGTATAAAACTTATGAAATGAATGGGTTTTGGAGAAAACTTATGGTAAAAAATTATATAGGCCCATTTTATCAACATTTCACATAGGTATTGCATTGAAAATTGTAGAACCATTGAATTGACAAAATCTTAGATAGAATGTTCTATCGTTAAAATGATATTGTCCTACGGACCCGGTTTAACGATAGAATTCGTTCCGTGTACTCGTAATGTAGCAAAAAGAATAACCCGCATAGTGCATTTACTATGAACAATCAAGAGAGTTCCGAATGTTAACATTTGAATGGACAGAAACATGTTGAGAAAATTAATTTGATTTACGTATTTATATGGATTATTTTTTGGGAGAAAAGGCATAAGCAATCTCAAGAAGGTTTGTTTTGATTATTTTGGTAGTTATTCCCAGAGCAAATCATTTTATATATTTCAAAATCGTTTCGGAGCGGATCCACTCTGTTTTGCTACATTACAAGTATATGGGACGTATTCTATCTGTGGTGAGGGCCTGTACCGAGACACAGTTAGATTATTCTAACTAACAAAATCTATAAAGGAAAACTGACTTGATGGGTAAAAAGGACCTGAATTGAACATGTTTGGTACCATTAAACCTGTTCAAAAAATCTTGAAAAATTCTATAGGAAAGCCAGAAACGTTGCCAATGTCCTTAAATTGCTTAATGCTGAACACTTCTCATAAATACTATATACTATAACACCTTACACCTGATTGCACACTCGAAACTCGTGGCCGACATGTAGTACTCCTTTCGTGGTCTTTAAGATCAGCTGAGTAGCTTAATAAAGGTATTGTATCGAACGTAGTATATACCAAACGTTTGTAACTGGTGATAAATTATATATTTAGTTAACAAAACATGTCAACAGAAAACATTACATCACATAAACATGGCGCGAGAAATTTTACTTCGCATTATTGACTTACGTTTCTGTTTCAAGTGTGCTAATACTTGAAAGCTATTAATGCTGTCACCGCATTAACACCATATAATTATATTCATAAATAGTACAGCAAAGGCGATAACAAACAATTGTTAATCTTTTCTCGATCTTGGTTTGTTGTGGAAAAATCGAACCTCTTGCATTCGGAACTGATCTGATGGCTCGTTCAATGGAAAATTCCCAATCTTTCCACACGACGTATTGAAACCCTGAAGGTGTTCCGAACGTGACTTCAAAATTAAAGAACTCGTACTGAATTATTTCGTGACCGAGAACATTGCTGCGTTGAAATCAAATTTTTATTAAGATGTGGTGAAGAGTGCACTAAATGAAAACACCTTTTACTTTTTTATTAGAATCTTATCGTTAAAGAATTTGAGTTGTATGATACATTTCAAGTTGCTTTAACGATAAGCATAAATTATATACATGGCACTCAGGTAAAGAAAAGCACATGCAGGTGCCTGTTTCATACAATAGGATAGTTTTTATACTATATTATATCTATAAAAACTAGCCTATTGTATGAAACAAGCACATGTGAAGGAAAAGCATATTTTAAAAGAATGAATGGCACCACTCTTTTGTTATTATCATTAAAGGAAGGATCGAGTCTAAAAAGAGGTTTGATTATAATATTTAAAGTGGATTTTTGTCTTAAGAAATGTAAACCAGATTCTTGAAAATATTCCATTTCTATCACAAAACTTTCTGGACCTAATATTAATATATATACTCTTTCTTAATTCAAAATCACGCTCTTTATTTCTTTGACTCAAATAGCAACTGATTATCTGGAGTGAGCATGAAGATAAATAATCAAATGGTTAATCTCTCCAGCAGCATTGAAACTGTATATACAAAACTTATACTCAGTCATATTTTGACTTTGATTTATAGACATATATCATCTTTCATGCAATCATGTTAGTGAAGTTTGGCATACTAAGGAAATATCAGTGTTTTATTCATACATGACACCAGCTAAAAATTTCTTTTAACTTATAGTATAATTAGACTGTGAGTGATTAATCCCAAATGTGTTACAGATAAACTATCTCTATTTTGTGTCAATCAGTAAGAAAACCAATACTTTTACAAGAAATACAAAGGAATGTGTTGTGTATGTCTAATTTGCATACTTGGTGTACTGGCAAATTGTGGTATATTAAATAAGAGTGTAGTAATATTCTCTGAACAGGACATTCAACAAAGAGATCTTCTTTTGAAAGCACTGCTCTTTGTGTGAACAATTTTTATTCCTCTACATTAAAAAATGTTCTGTGCCAAGTTTAACTTAAATTGGCCTGTGGTTCAGAGATTGAAAATGAAATTATAAAGAATTTAATATTAAGATGATACTGGGTGACTTTTAATTTTAAAAAAAAAATTGCGACAGCTTTAGCTCATATGAGCTAAACTGTATAGAGATTTAGTGCTAAATGTTGACTTTGAAATGTGATTGGACATTTCTTTGATCTTATGTTTCAATTCAAAATGTATATACTTGTCCTTTGTGCTGACAAATGCACATTATAATTGTTAATGCTTTAGTTGTTTATGACAAAATAGTAACTCTGCTTCAATTATACTGTAACAATACACATATTAGACCTTATATATTGTAGCTGAAGAAACATCTTTATCATCTTAACCATTAGCATTGGTATACATATCTCAAATTCCCATTGAAACGGTTGACCTCAATACAGATGTATTATCATGCAAGATCTGACACATATCTTAAAAGAATATTTATTCCAAACTGAACACAGATTCTGTTACAAAATCTATTTCTC